AATTTATTTTCTATTTGCCTTTTCCAAGCACCAGACGATAAAACAAGAGATTTATCTTTATTAAACTTTGATCCAGGATATAATTCAAGTTTCTTTGTTGTGTTTTCAATAACTTTAAGAGAAGTGTGACACAAGGAAATCCAATAAATGGTTTTGTTTTTATATACATTAGCTATAGAACATTTTCTTTACAATTTAGGAAGTTCTTTAAGAACAATATCAAATTTTAGTAATTACCAAAGATCCGGATGATATAAATATTTGTGTTAGACAGGCAACAGGATTTAAAAGGAACGGCTAAAGTTGAAACTAACCAATAAACTACATAAAATATGGTATTTTTGTACATTGCGTCAACTGCTCTTATAATATTGTTACGACAGCGGAAGTCACGTGACCCTGGTAACACGTGATGAGATTCTCGAAGGATCATGAATTTTCCTGACAACTCTAGTTTGTTCCAGGCGCCCTCTTGTTTTAGTATATAAGCCCGGCAAATAAAGCTAAGATAGAATTGCATAGATAGATAGATATAGAGAGAGATAATTGAGTCAAGCAAACAGTAGGCACCGTAAGTAAAGTGTGTAAATCACTGTGATTTATAGAGTGTGTTTATAAAAGTAGTTAAGTTTAAAGTGACGGCGGAAATTCTGTGTATTACAAAGTTGTATTAAGAAAGAATAAACTAATTTTAATTCAAAAAGGACTTGTATCACTGAAGTTTCTCGGAAAGAATTTATTTCGGAAATTAACAAACGAGCAGATACGCAACAATATTCTCTCCAAAACCAAATTATTTGCGTACTTTCCTCAAGCAGTTATGATTTATGAGTTCGAACATTTTTTCAAGATCTAAATTTACAATAGCCAAACATTCGTTATTTTGTTTTGCAGGATTTACTATATCACACATAACATGCATGTCATCATAGATGTATTGATTTGAAACGCAGTAAGTCTGGATCTCATGAATCAGTTGACAGGTTTCGTTCTGTTTGTTATAGCTTTAGAAAATACTTTAAAATCACCAAATAGAAGCGCTACTGCTCGCTATTTTATAAATCAGTCAAATCCCCCTTTTTAGTTAGCAACTAGTTTATATTTCTACAATATTCTCCTGTCTTCAGAGATCCACTAACCACCACGAACTGAGAACTGAAGTTTCCTAACCACTCAACCGTTAGGCCATCAGTTCCAGGGTTACATATCTTTTATCAGTTCCAGGGATACATATCTTTTATCAGTTCCAGGGATACATATCTTTTGCTAATGATTAACAAACATCGGTTATTTCTGTAGACGTTAAAGGAATACCTAAATACTCTTTCACACTTTTTTGGTAAGCTCGTCTCGCCTTCAATAAAACAATCATTAGCTTGGTTTACTGTTCCTTCCGAGTATAATCTCTATAAAAATATTTATAGAATTTATTTCATTTGTATTCTGAGTTACCCTATAATTTTTAGTTTTCTAAACTGTTAATACGGTGTTTTATGTATTAGGTGTTTGTCCTAATCTAAATAAAATAATAATAATGATAATGGTGTAGGCCTAATTCTTTAGATTCGTTCATTGACTTCACAGCGTTTAGTTCAATCTTCAATCAATTCTTCATATATGTAATAAGTATTATCAGTAATAGATAATTAACATAAACTTATTTTTAAATGCCCAGAATCCCGTTACTTTATTAATTCAACTTTCCTCAATTAGAAATAGTTAAGTATGTGCCTTAATCACTCCTTCCATACGATCCCACCACACTCTATCATTCTCAAAGTTTTCTTTTGTTTAGAAACCTGTTATAATTTCATCAATTTTCATTTACACACGTGGTATTTTACAATCATTTATTATTTAACTGCCAACATACAAAACTTTTGAATAACGTGCAACTACTGCTGAATGATCAGAAATAAGGAAATCCAAACATTCTTGTCATCACAATAGAATAACGAATAACTTATCTAATCTGGCTTTTAACGTAACGCCTCCTCTTTGGCCAGTCCAAGTATATTCCTTGGATGAAGATATCTAAAAACATCAAGCCAGCCAAAATGATTTACCAAAACATTTAGTTTATCTTATATATGATACCTGTGATCTCCTGAAGGTATACTGTCTAATTCTGTATTCAACGCTACATTAAAATTTGGCTTGGTTTGATTTTTAAGCACAAAGCAACACAATTGGCTATCTGTGCTCTGCCCATCACGGGTATCGAAACCCGGTTTTTATCGCCATAAGCCTGCAGACTGACAACTGAGCCATTGGAGGGCGTGAATTGAAATCTCCAGTTAAACACATCAAATCATTAATATGTAATTCACCAAATCCTTCTCAATATAAGCTAAACATTTATATGTTGTTGGTTTTTATCCAATTCTGGTAAATACACAATGAATAAATGCAAATTTGACTCTTCTGATTTTATCAGTACGTGCAAAATATTACCTTTAGACTCAGATATAAATACTATTTCCTTATGACTTATGTAAGCCTGTTAGTACGCCAGATCCATGATGTTGTGTAGTATAGGTTTGCCACATTGGACTATCTGCTGTGTCCACCGCGGGAATCAACCCCCGCATTTTAGCGTTGTAAAGTTGGAAACTTACCAATGTCCCACTGGGGGACGTGTAGTATAGGAATCTATATAAATATAACAGTACTGTCACTTTTGTGTCCATGTAACTACTTCGCAGGGTGTGGATAGATCTTCACCAAAATTGGTATGGAGGTTCATTAGGTACATACAAATTTTCAGTTTTGTGTTTTTACCATTACTCCGCCCCCTGTTGATAGATCTTCACCAAATGTGGCATGAATGTTTTTTTTTGGGGGGCGGGGGGGTCTGTGGAGAGATACAAGCAAACTCGTGGTTTCACATTTTGTGTTTTGAAGTTTTTATGGACGTTTTTGCGTTTTTACAATTACATATAGGGGAATCAACTTTTCATGTCCTAAAATAATATTTCATTAATCATGAATTTACATAACTTTCGTCCAGGGGACGGGTACTCCAGCTAGTTAATAATATTATAATTCCACTTTTTCCATGATAAAGATTAGGTCTCTATATGAACCTTACTATGTTGTAGTGCAATAATTTGTGCATTTTGTAGTGTGTCATGTGGCCAAAACAACCTGTAAAACACATTATGTGCTAGTAACACGAATGATAGTTTAGGTATTTGACGCTTTCTGCAGCTCGGACTGTGGTAATCCAAACTAACACATACTTTCAGTGGATGTGCTCTACTGCACTCTTATTTCACATACCAGATTTCAAGGCAAAATCTATTAAGAAATGCATGAGATATAAAATCTCCAACTTTGATTGAAGTTTTCCTATTTTTTCTTCGCACAGAAAGTACTGAACTTTTATTTGATAAAAGAACATAATTAACTTTAATGGATTTTTTTTCAAATTTGGTACACTGGTAAATTTTTACAACCTACAATTAGATGTCAAATTCGGTCAAAGTATAAGCCACACGTACAAAGTTATTCAACAGAAACCTCTCAATTTTGACCAAAACATTTGCACATGCTTACGCAAAAACTCACGTAAGCTATCGGTCTAAAATTTTTACCATGGATTCACTTAAGCTTAAAAGTTGATAGTGTTTAATTTTTTGTCACTTGTATTAAAGACAGCTGATTTAGAGCAGCAAAACTATAGGTTGAAGGCATATGCTGATACACAAGTATTGGTTAGGCCAAGCAAACTAGATTAGCAGTTTCTAACTCAAGTTTTCAAAAGAATCATACATGTGGACGGTTATTATTCATTGCCAACTTTTAAGTACAAATTTGCTCAATTTTATTAAATTCTGCTAATTAAATAGCGTTGATATTAGCTTAAGGAATTAGCGTAAATAATGATGTTTGATACGGCTGTACCGAGTGCATGCGGGTGATGACAAGAAACTGTTAATCTAGATTCCATGGCGTTACTATAAAGGAAGTTAATTACACTGTTTTATAGAGGAAAAATACCACCATATATTTAAAAGAATCTGGTTGATTCTGTAAAGTATAGGTCTGTTCCGAACAATACGATTCCGATCCTAAAATTAATGTTGGTTACTACTGAGTGTTGCTTTCTTACTTGCTGTGGTTTGCTGGTGGGTATTGACAGAAAGTCATGATATCTAATCAAAAACATCTTAGGTGTGAAAAAAAAAGGTGCAGCCAAAAAATGATTGAACGTGCGACTTAAAGGAATGAAATCAAAATTGGCAGCCAATTTTGTTCAACTAGGGGCATGATGTTGGGGAAAACAAAATACGAGGCCTAGCTATCTAATGAATGAATATTTGTTGTAAAATTCTTATCAATGCTATAAGT